AATGGCCACTGGAACTCACCAACACCTGGCGTAGCAAAGAGAAGGGCCGGACAACGCCATAACGGCTCTCCTGAGTACCCAACTGTGCTCGCCATGCTCCTGGGGAGCCCGTGGCACCAATGGCTTGCTCCCCCCAAAAATTCAAGACAGCACTGGCCCTTTAAAGCGCAGCACACGGCAGCTGCCCCGATGCAAACAGCGGCTCCGTAGACCTCATGGGCGCCTCATGGCGCTAGCGGAGCTTTCTGCCGGCTTGCTAAAAGAACCACGGCCTCTGCAACCGCTGCGCTTGGGCACAGCACCCCCGCAACCCCGGGGATAAGTCTGAGGCTCCGTGCCCGCAGATGAACGCCCCACAGGGCCCTCCCCACACCACCGGAGGCAGAAAAAACTGACCCCTGGTCCGCAGCTACAAGGAATCAATTTTAAGCAATTTTAAGCAATTTAAATATCCAATTAAACCAAATGTAGAAGCCAATTGAAGCAACTTAGCAAAAAATACACACTATCTCTCTACTCACAACTTAAGCAGTGCTTGGACCAAGAGACTGAGAGGAAACTGGGCTAGAAAGGCAGGAAGGAGCATTTAAGAAGTTTTACTTTCAGTCTTGGACCAATCAGGCTTTGAGAATACCCACACGTGACCACTCCCTCTTTCCACTGGAAAATTATAGCTGTTGGCAATGGGATTCCAAATCTGCATAAATTACCTGCACACTTTCTTTCTTCTTCTCTACAACCTACTGTGCTGTTAAATTAACAGCTAATAGCTCTTGACTACTAAAAGAAATAAGCACACTATACCAAGTATGACCTCTAATTTGCAGGTCATTTCATTTCTTATTTGCATGAATTCACTATCAGAACTCTTCTGAATCTTAGTACCATATGGTTACGGTATGTTTTTTCCCAGGACAACAATATCACTATTTGCTTGTATTCCAGTCCTTAGCACTGGGAATCTGACTTGTTCTGCAAATCTTGCTGATTGATGATTCTCATTTATCATCAGTCTGGAGAACTAATGCTAGCCTTCATAAGAAGAGGGCATTGTCACCAGCTGCAATGATATTATATCTCTCTCACGTACCTGTGTGTAATCATTATACTGCCGTGCATAGTTAAAAGAGTTTTCCACTGCATGCTGTGCTGTGTTTCCCTGAGCATTTACACTGTTGATTGAGTTACTTGCAGCTACAGATTGCGACTTAGTATTATTAGCTTTGTTGGGGACTGCTCCTAAAAGAAGAAAAATTATACTTTATTAATAATTATAACAAGGTATTAGTAGTTTTACACCCATTTGCTTCCCCCAAAGTCCCTTAGAATGGTACACAATTTCTACATGTACACAGTACAATATTAAATACATTCATAACAAAACAAAGGCATAGACCTATTCTTTTTAAAGCAAAATAAAATAAGGCACTATTTAGCATACAGTGATACCTTGGTACTTGACTGCTTCAAAACCAGTCAAATTTGATATTCAGCGCATTTTGAAGCACAAATGTTGGTCCAGTATTCATTGTTTGTTTGGTATGATTAGAAAAGGGGACAGCTGTGGAGAATGGACAGGAAGTCAGCCATGCCGGGAAGGTTGCTGCAAAAGGAAGAGGGTGATAGTGCAAGAGAGGGAGGACAGGAAGTCGGTCATGCTGGAAAGGTTGCTGACGTAGGAAAAGAAACCGACAGGAAGTGAACAAAGGGTCACGTGGTCAATCACATGGTTAGTTTGGTGCACATCATTTTTTTGTACTCATTGAGTCTTCTGGAACCAATTAACAATGAGTATCGAGGTACCACTGTAATTTAAAGGACTTAATCTTAGCTATACTCTCTCCATCATATTCTGGGAATTGTAAAACAGACATCTACCAATCCACACTGCACATATATGGTAGATTATGATCCATGCTCTTCAATAAGAAACCATCCTTAATGAGTCATGGAGGCACAGTGGTTAGAGTGAAGTACTACAGGCTACTTCTGTTGACTGTAGTTTGGCAGTTCAAATCTCACTGGCTGAAGGTTGACTCAGATTTCCGAAGTGGGTAAAATGAGGGCCCAGATTGTTGGGGCAATATGCTGACTCTGTAAACCGCTTAAAGAGGACTGTAAAGCACTGTGAAACAGTATATAAGTCTAAGTGCTATTGCTATCCTGCAGTAGATTGTATGATAATTAGCAGCAGAAGAAACAACAGCAGATCTTTTTATTGTAAACTTTTCTTAAAGGCAAGTTCCAGATTTAAATTATACCAAACAATATATCTGTATTATCTGCAAATATTATAATCTTTGTGCCCTCCCTGCTTACCTGAAAGACACACAGAAGGTAGAACACTTGCCAAGTTCAAGTAGGGATTTGTGCTGAGGTGTATTTCCTTAGGAGGTTCTCCAAGTAGAGAGGTTTGATTTTTGGAACAACTCTATAAAATAGATATATTTCATCAGATAACTGCAGCTGAAGTTCAAAGTGATTTCCCATTAGAAAACTTCTCACGTTACTAACTAGAAGTGTCATTACAATTTTTAACTCTTATTTATTTATCTATAAATTTATCCACTCTTTTTAAAGGACAACACAATAATTACCACTTCAGACACACACAAAAACCTTATCTGTCCTATAAAGTTATTACCGTATTTTTCAGAGTATAAGATGCACCCTTTTCCCTCAAAAAAGAGGCTCAAAATCTGGGTGCATCTTATACACTGAATACAGCATTTTTTTTGCCTCCTGAAACTCCACCCCTTCACCAAAATGGCCGTGCATAGCTTGTAGGAAACTTTCAGAGAGCTCCTGGGGGCTAAAGAGGGCAGAAATGAGCAAAATGTGGGCCATTCTTTTGCTCAAATTTGCCCCCCCCAGCCCCTAGGAGCACTGTATAAGCTTCCTAATGCCCCCCCCTTTTTTTTACAAAAAATGGGCTGTTTTTTGCTCACCCCCCCCCCCTCCGAACACACTACAAGCCTCCTAAGGGCTATTCATGCCCTTTTTTGGAGGAAAAAAAAACAGGCCCGTTTTCACGAAAAACAGCCCGTTTTTGGGAGGTTTACAGAGTGCAAAAACTTTTTTTTTAATTTGCTTCTTCAAACCCTTGGCATGTCTTACTCTGAAAAGTACGGGTATATGCGTTGTTCAAACTCTCGCTTAAGTATATGAGATAGAAATAAAAGGCAAACAAAAATAAAGCATATCTAGAAAAAACATAACACTGTTTTGGCTATTCTCACATATAATACAAATGCCTGTTGGATTTTTGTGATTTTTTTTCTAAGTCTTCATCAAACTTTAAAAGCTTGAAAGCCAGAAGGATAAGCTGAATTGTCGCTATGCAGCAATCAACAAATGTCTCTTCCTTTTAGACAGCAAAAATGTAGCATTCTTTTCTGTTCTACTGAATAACAGGGTGGATATTTTCAACTGAAGGAAATAGTCTAGGAGCCAATACAGAATATAATCCTTCCTTCTTAAAGATAGAACGAATGGCTATATAATTATCTTTACTTTAAACAACCCTAAACCAGACTGGTAAAACCAGATTAACTAGTTAACCTATAGGCTGGGAAACCAATCTTTGTCCACCAAACTACTAAAAGGAAAACAGGGAAGTATATTAACTGTACTCTCTTCTGAGCCAGATCAAAGCAACGTCTCTATGTACAGGAAGAGGGAGATAACACAAATTTGATATGGCACTAAGGTTAAGTCATGTCACATGAAAAAAAGCAGAATAGGAAAGAGAAAATGGAAGCTGCCTCAAACAGCTTACATTACAAAAACTGTGTGAAGTTATGATACTGGAAAGTATTAAAAAGTTTGCTAAATAAAATAAGATAGGGAAAATTGATATAAGAGAATAACTGCTGCTGCTGCTGCAAAAAAAGATCCAATGCTGTAAAATAGAGGTGTGTACAAAAGAAATACATGGCATGGGAGTCTGAACTGAAGTTCAGCTGAAGCAAAATAGACATTTTAAAAGATACAAATGCTGGCAGCAGGATGTCTGTTGCAAAGAGTGAGATTTGTTGAAAGAAACAAAAATGCTTGAATAGTCCTCCTGCTTTATTACAATATGTATGTATGTATGGGCATGTATATGCCTTCTTTTATCTTTATTTTTTATGTTTTATTGATTTGATTGCAATTTGTTTGTTTGATCGATTGTCATCTGGGCAGATTAATAAATTACTATCTGTTCACAATATGGAGTCATAGCTGCTAGTTCTTTAATTGGTGTGGCTCTTCATATGCATCAAGTTCTTTCCAATAATAATTTAATAATAAATTATGTGTGGGTAATCTACAGTTAGATTTACAGTCTAAGACTGGTTAAAACTTAACAATTCAAGTCCTAACCAAGAGCCTAAGAATTATTAAGGTAGCGTTTAACAATATAGCCAATTCCAAGCAGGGTAGGGTTTGTTTGTTTTTCGTAAAATTGGTGTGTTCAGGTCTGATAAATTCAGTATTTCCAGATATTGAGGCAGTCTATGGTTCATCACAGTCAGATGTTTAGATTGGAATTGGCATTTTTATCCACCTGTTGAGTTCATTGCAGGATAGGGAGATGGTGCTAAAATTATTTGTGCAGGAAACTGTTCCAAATAAAGTTGCCTTTTGCAATTGATTGATGGTGGTTCTGTCAATGTTGATGCTGTTCAACGATGTTCCAGATGTTTAGGGGATTGTACCCAAGGTACCAGTTACTATTGAACCTAAAAGATTCCATATTAGCAAGAAGATTGCCATGTTTCAGAATTTGCTCCAAACTGTTAATAAATTGAGGGATCCTTAGTGCTCTTTGAGCTTGCTTGTTTTCTTGCAGACGTTTCATTATCTTAACTAGGTTAACATCATCAGTGTGAGTAATGAGTGCTGTTTGCTGTCAGTTTATATTCTGGTGTCTTGTCTTTCTGTGTGGATGGGGGCAATCTTAGAGATTCTTTGGTTGAGCTGTTTACTGATGGCTCTTTGGCAGTTTCTTGATTGGGATATTGCTTACTTGATTGTTGGTTTGAAGTTAACTTTGAAGTTAATCTATGCTGAGTTTAGTGCTAATTTCAGGTGGAGGGGTGCTGAGGTCTTTTTCTCTTTTGGGCTGGTTGATTGTCTCTTTTGCATAGTGTATAGATGTTGTTAATGTCCATATTAATAATGTTAATAAATTCCAGATTAGCATCAAAATTTATGTGAACAGTTTTAGGAAGGAAGAAGGAATTGTGCATTTACTTATCCATTCAGAATATATTCCTTCCTGCTAGGTTGAGCAAGTGTACTTAGGAAATGGACAATTTGATGTATGAAATGAGAGACATTCTTGGTACTTAGGTTAAAAAGGAAGAAACTGCAAGTGAAAATATTAATTTGGAGGTAGGATCTACTCCACTCAATAGGATGACCTCAAAATGTTACACTGTTTATAGAAAATTGTATAGATGAATGTAATAAATATTATGTCTGTGTATAGAAAACATAAGACAGAGAAGGAAAAAAGGAATAAAAGGCTATTATTATGAAACAAAAGAAAAACCAAAATTTTAAAAAGTGTATTTTTGAATGAAAATTCTCTAAATTGAGGAAAACCATGACTGCCTTTTTAATCTAAGAAAATATTTCTTGAAAATGAAGACAGAAGCAGAATGAAAAGTTTCACAGGTATGTTTACAATTTTGTCAGTGAAATAGAGACATATTATTCAGAGGTAACCTTGCAAATCACATGCATGCAAAATATGTATATAATTTTTAAAAATGATGAACCGTGATTTAAAATATATTTCCAAGCCCTACTTTATTGGGATTATATCAGTTTAAAGATAAACACAAAGAAATTTCTCGCCTTATAAAAATAATCTTAAATCAATCCTGCCATAAGTAAAGCTGTTCATGTTTCAAATTTTGGTTTAAGAGAGAATTCTCCTTGAAATCAACTACAATAAACTTGGTTGCATTAGGTGTCATGGTAGGTGATGGTTCATTTCACTAAGGTAGACTGAGTAAACCTTAACTCACTTTTTTCAATTGCACCTAAGACATATGGTTTGCAAACCATAATCCCATTATGGTTTAGCATGATAAGCAAATTTCATCTTCCTGATATTTAACTATACTGAATGCAAATAGAGCAATTAACTGCAAATGACAGAAAACACTTTTCATTATATTTCTACATTTTAATAAGATCCATTAGTCTTTCACTGTAATTTAGAAGTAATAATCTCTTTGAAAATGCTTTTTGCAATTAAGATTTGAACGCTGATAAAACAATTGTAAAACGTCTCACTGACTCAACACTAATGAACGGTCAGTAAGTACAAGAGAGAAAGTGGGGGGGGGGGAAGCTGAATCCAGTTTCCTTACACCAATGCTTGAGTCAGTATTCTTTGGCTGGTTCTGTGATTGCAGTTGTCCTCCCTGAAGGCTTCCTAAGCTCTGCAGATATCCTTGTGATGCAGAGCCGGTGCCTTCTGTCAGTCCCAGTGAAGATGGCAACTTCTCTTGGGTGTTAGTTTGCCTTGGCACTGCTTGCCCAATTACATGCTGGTTAGGGAAGAATGGCAGTAAGCCCATCCCTGCTGCCATCGCTGTTGAACCTGGAGTCTGATGAGATACTGTAGAATCGGCCATAAATAGAAAAAAACTGTTATAGAACAGAACACTGGGTTTATTACATAAAAAGCACTAAGGTTCATGTTGATATTTGCAACACATTATTGAAATATACCTACTTACTACATACTGTACAAGCCTATTGAATACATATGTACACCACATGGTTCCCCTTTTATACACCAATTTTTGTAAAAAAAATTCTGCTTGTAATTTGCCCTAATAATGAAAATCTAGATGATAGTAGTCATCTTATTTTTTCTATCTCCAAAACAGCCAATATTGGTCTCTGAGGTGTACAATATTTAGTTTGATAACTAATTAATAAATGACATATACCATTTGTTTCTTGAAATACTGTTAATGATAACTGTATTTTAAAGAATACTGTAATAGTTGTAAACTTCTGTTATCTCTGAAGGGAAAAATACAAAATAAAAGGATTTTATTTTTAAGTCTAAAAATGTCTGCAGCAGGTTGCAACGGTTCTGACCTAGGCTTCCCAAGAGCATGAAGCAAACTCCTTGTCTTGAAAAAAAAAACTTTTATTAATTGACTGTCAATTCTGCTCATTCACATCCAGAAAAGTCTTTCACAGGAGGATTTACAGACACTGACCTTATCTGGCTTGGAGAGCTGACAGGCTGATATCTGCAAAACTTGGCAAGGAGTCTCGGAGAGTCACAAACCCATTAAGCGAACTGTCTCTTGCAAACTCCACTCCCCTTTCGCTCCTCTTTTATTTCCTCTGGGAGGGGCCATTCATTGTCCACTCAAGTCAACCCTGTTCTTTAGCTATTCCCTTCGTCTGGCAACTCTGCGCATGCATACACTGAGAACAGATTTTCATCTGATGTCTGACTCTGAAGGCAGCTGATAACTGGCATACAGCTATGGCCCCCTCTCCGCCTCCGACACAGAGCCCTCATCACAGCCTTCCTAAGACTCCAGGACTGGCCCATGTTCCTCCCAAACCTCCTCACTGTCTGAATCTGCTGCCAGCTCTGCTGGCCGCTGACGGGCCACAACAGCAGATAAGGGATAGTTATCTGACAGAAAGTCTAGTGAACACATTACAACTTTTAAATAAATATAAATAAGAGGGCACAATATAGTGTGTAAATGTAGTTCACACAATATAATTTTAATTTTTGTATTTCCGTATGTTGTAATGATTTAAAATGTTTTTATGATTGTTNAACACCAAGAGCCGAGGTTGCACAGTGGTTAAATGCAGCACTGCAGGCTACTTCAGCTGACTGCAGTTCAGCAGTTCGGCTATTCAAATCTTACCAGCTCAGGATTGACTCAGCCTTCCATCCTTCCGAGGTGGGTAAAATGAGAACCCGGATTGTTGTTGGGGGCAATATGCTGACTCTGTAAACCGCTTAGAGAGGGCTGTAAGCCCTATGAAGCGGTATAAGTCTAACTGCTATTGCTATTGCTATTGCTACAATATAGCACCAGAAACAGATTAAAATGATGAATTTCACTGGTGCCAGTGTAGTATGTAATATGTATATACCATGATATAAGCTCATATACCAGAGTAATATACGTGTTGCACAGAATATGACGTATATATGGAAACATATGACTAGCTTTTTTCCTAACTACTTATATAAGGATTATTCTTTATATTATTCATGTAGTTTTCTTTGGACTGTACCAGTAGAGGCTAAACCAATTTTGTTGTATACATGATATACAATGACAATAAAGGCTTTGAACTTTGAAATGAGGCAAGGGACATACTGCTAGACTCCCAACGGTTGTTCACTCCTATGGAATATTTGGTCCAGATGAATTTGGTTGTAATAGGAAGTAAAAAAATAACAATGGGCTTTTTCTTTGAGCATATATAAAATCAGAAAATGAAAATAATAAAACTATATTTTTAAAAGTAAGATACTATAATTGGCAAATTGTTACTTATATACCTTTCATTAATAAATTCATTAATAAATTATCAGCACATAAAATCCTGCTAAGTTCCATGAGTCACATGACTGGAATTGTCTTTTTTTTTTCTTTCTAAAAATTCAAGTCAGCAAAAAATCGCCAAATTTGCAAACTGGCATTTCTTGGCATATAGATATCCTTAGGGTGCTGAAATACTTTTTCAATGATGTAATAAAATGATAAACAATAAGTTTCCTGGATGCACTCCAGAAATATCATTTATTTTCATGTGCTAGAAATAAATTCTGATCCAAACCCATTGAAGACATGAATACCTTAATAAGATAACTGTAAAAGAGAAAAGCATCACCTAAAATAAAAAGCAGGATATTAACCCAGCAAATAAACAAACAAACTTACGTCTGAGCCATTGTTTTCTAAGTCTCCTACTTTAGTTTGAATGCTATGGTATGCCTGAGCATATTGTTGATACCACTGCTGGACTGAATCCTACAAAAGGCAAAAGCATTTTTAAAAACATTTTCATAATTACTTTGCCAATGTTTGACACCAAGTTTTGCCAAACAGCTACCCCAATTTTTATAACTTCAGTCTTGTTTCACTTAAAACAAAAAGCAATATTTAAATTACATTTCATATAATACAATACATAATTAAACTGTACCACAAATTTCTTTTTTTGCCAAATGATATCAAACTTCCAATATAACTTTCAAGTCTGCCAGGTTATTTGCAGGCCATTCTCTAGGGCAGTGATGGTGAACCTTTGGCATAGGTGCCGCAGGTGGCACGCATGCGCTGGCCAGCTGAGTTTACCCTTTTTTAAAGCCATTCTTTGCCCTCCCCAGGCTCCAGAGGCTTTATAGGCTTTATAGGAGCCTGGCTTTATAGGAGCCTGGGGAGGGTGAAAAGAGCCTCCCCCCTCCCCCAGAGGCCCTCCGGAGGCTTCAGGAGCTTCCGGTTTGCTCGGAGGGTCATTTTGACTGTTCTGGAGGCTTCAAGGAAGCCTCCTGAAGGTCCCTAAAGCCTCCAAAGGGCTTCTGGCGGGGTGGGGAGGCTGTTTTCACCCTCCCCAGGCTCATATAAAGCCTCTGGAGCCTGGGGAGGGCGAAAAAAGCATGCAAAAATGGGGGGGGAGCATCTGTAGTGCACGGATGGGGGGTAGCGCATTGCATTATGGGTGTGGCACGCCCGCACACGTCCCCCTGCGCTCCCCCCACTTATGGCACGCAAGCCAAAAAAGGTTTGCCATCGCTGCTCTAGGTACTTTGCTAATTCCTAAGCCATAAGAGACGGCGGGAGGTAACTGAGGTGGCTAACGTGCTGGACGCAAACTTGACCGTGTCCAGAGTCCCATCCACCGAGAATTGAGAGGCAGCAATGATTTTAGTCAGATCCTGGTGGAGCCGCTCATCCTGGATCGGAATGCGATCCTGGAGCTGGTGCAACCACATGACGGTAGTGCAGTTGAAATAAGAGGCCGCCGCCGCAGACTTTATGGCCCATGCAGTGGCATTGAAATTTTTCCACAGGGTAAGCTCAGCGCGCTTATCCTCAGGTTTTAACATCCACCGCATCCCCAGACACCACCGGGGACAAAGAAACCAAAGTAGCAATAGGGGTGTCAATAATGGGCAACTGGATGGCCTGGGCAAAGGCCTGTTCCACATTGTAGAAGTGGCGGTCATTGCTTCCCGGATGAGAAAAATTGGAGGGGTGGGCCCACTGGTTGGTCAGAACCTCCATAAACAAGGGGAGAGCAGGAATCTCCTCCTTCTTCATAGCCGTATTGGAAAACATAGCCATTTCCGGGTCTCTAGGAGGAGGTACCGTGGGATCCCCCAACCAAATCTTTGTGGTCTTCCTCGCCTTGTTCAGGAGAGTCTTGAACATGGCTGGTGAAAACAGGCCCGAGGAAGGAGGAGGATCGGGAGGGGCCGCATCCTCGTCTTCCAAAAATCCCATATCATGAGAATTCTCCTCCCCCATGATAGAGGCCTCGCTAACCATGGATGGGGAGGAAGCCCTATAGTTGTGCCAGCCTGGCCCCCCCTGGTAACCTAGCAGAATGGGAGCTCCTGTCCCGCTGGGCAATGCCCCGCGAAATGGCTGCAAAAATAAGCCGTTTAATACCTTCAGGAAGGTGTTCCAGACCCTCCATGTCACCATAAGAAGTGCTAGGCCCCTGAGGTGCCATCCTGCACAAAGAACAAGGCCCCCTAGGCGTCCCCTCCAAGGGATCCATATAGCTGTCCCTTGCCAGACGTGGGGAAGCTGCAGGGGAAGGGGAAGGAGACCGCTTTCACCTGGAGTAGCTGTGGGATCTGGCCTGGGCGCCCAAGGAAGAAGAAGGGCTGAAACCTCGAGACGAAGAATGCCGAGAAGGAGGCCTGATTGGTGACCTGGACCTGCTAGTAAAGACAGACCTAGCAGACTTGGCCTGCCTCTCAGCCCTGGCGAAAGTCTTTTCAAGCGCCTTGTGCCTCCTGGCCTCCTCCCTCGTGGAGGCCCTAGAGGGATGCTGCCAGGGGTCTTGCCAGGGGCTCCCCCCGCTCTGCCCCCCTACTCCTCCCAACGGGCCTTCTGCTTGGTCCTGGGGAATACCCGATCCCTCCTCCATACTCTCCACTTACGTCTCCTGGAAGGCGTGGAGGGAGAGCAGGCCTCTGTAGGCCCCACCGGAGCCTGGGCTCNAGAGGGATAGAGAGAGAGAAATAGAAATAGAGAGAGAGAGAAATACAGTAGATAGGTAGGGAAAGAGAGAGAGTAGGTAGGTAGGTAGAGGGATGTGCTGGAGAAGGAAATCGCTGACAAACCTTAAGACTTTGTTTCTGCTGGCACAGCACTTGATCAATGTAATTCTCATCAGTTAAAGACCTTTCCAAAAGGAGAAAAAAAGTTTTTGCTCTGCAAATCTCCTAAAAATGGCCCGTTTTTCGCAAAAACGGGCCTGTTTTTTTTTCAAATAAAAGGCATGAATAGCCTTGGGGAGGCTTGCAGAGTGCTTCTGGGGGGGTGGGGGCCAAAAAAGGGGGAAAATGGCCCGTTTTTCACAAAACGTGCTTGTTTTTTGTCAAACAAAAATTGCATGCACAGCCTTATGGAGGTTTATAGAGTGCTGCTGGGGACTGGGGGGGGAACAATAAACGGCTCATTTTTGCTCATTTCTGCCCTCCCCAGCCCCCAGGAGCTTTCTGAAAGCCTTCATAAGACTATACACGGCCATTTTGGTGAAGGGGCAGGGCTTCAGGAGGCAAAAAATGCTGTATTCGATGTATAAGACGTACCCAGATTTTCAGCCTCTTTTTTGAGGAAAAAAGGTGTGTCTTATACTCTGAAAAATACGGTATCCCCAAATATATGCAACTCAAACTCTTCCAGGGTCTACCCTGGTACCTTAGTCACGAGACCAAACGGGCTCTAGTTATGTATTATTCTACATCTTGCTTAATAAGAAAATAGATGTTATCTGGAAAATAGATGTTTCTTATATTTGTTACTTTGATAAAAAAATCAAGACCATGTTTTGTCTCTTTGTTTTCTAGTGAGCAAATTCTAGAAATTAAATTTCAGAATACATAAAACAGATGTTTCAATTAAGAAGTCAAGCTAAATACTGTCATAATTTAGCATAATTTGCTAATATGATGATAATACACTAACATTCTAACTTTTATCATACATCTGCTTCACCAATATATGTTATCTATAAACATACCTGATGAATTTTATTCAAATGCAAAAAGGCTGGACTGACTGATGGATTTACAAGGTGAGGCACATTCATGGGAGATCCTAGGACTATTTTAGGAAAAAAAATATAATCAAATTTATCATAAATTTATTTATAATACCTATGTTAAGATAATTACAAAATTCATGTTCACAATAATGCTGAAATAATGTACACAGTTTTATAAGAAACTTTGGTATAATTTAGGTTTGGCTTTTGCCAGGGAGATAAGGTATCATATTTTGCTATATTACCAAATCTTCAAGGATATACACATTAAAAGCTGGAGAGATGGATATAATTATGTACTATTTATTGCTTCCCTCCTTGCCCAAAGAAGCAGAAAAACTTTTTTTTTAACTGAAACAGAAGAGAGAATTTTGCAAGCTTTGCTCATATTTATAGCTTCAGCAACGTATGTGATAATTTATCTATATAGCTAATTTCTAAGGCCCAACTGACAGCTTCATTTTTAATTTTTAAACTTTGTAAAAGTGTATTATTTCTCTATAGTTTCTTATTCCAGGAATAACTCAGAGCTTCACACATCTTTTGCAAGAAGCAAGAAGTGCGTATGAGACAAAGGATGTTCACTCCTTGTTCGGAGCAAAACAACAGGGCTCAGGTCTGCCTATATTTCATCTGAAGTCCCCTTCAATATCATTTGAAATAAGTTCAGGTTTTCCTCACTCAATCAGTGGGAATTTCAAGTTATTTGAGATCAATGCTAAATATATAGATTTTTTTTAAAGTAGAGAAAGAGAAAAGGTGTGTAATTGCTCTGGTTCCTTCCCACCCAATGCTGTTGCTTTATGAAATTGATGTACATGTAAATTCTAAATTATTTCAGAGTACATATTATCAAATCTTACCAAATTTATTAGCACATCCATGCATCTGATGCCGTAACAACATCTGCAACATGCCTGGAGTATTTAAGCTGTTCATGATTTGCACAGCATTTGGTTCTGGAAGTAATCCTTTTTGATTGTTTTTCATCTTGAATAAAGGAGAAATTGAAAAGAAACTGAGTTTCACAATAAAAGAAGGATATTCATATCTATTCATTTCAAGTGGTTTCATTGTGCATAAAGAGCACAAAATTAGCAATGAGAAAATCCAAACTCAACAGTGGCAAAAAAATAATAATCTTAAAATAGATGAAACTTTATAGAATCCTTGAAGCTTTCCAGTTTCAACATTTCATTACACAAACAGGTTTTTTTGGGGAAAAGAAGACATAAAACTGACATGGCTAATTGCATAACCACTTTCTGTAATGTTTGCAAAATCCTGGAGAAAGGCAAGATCCTAGAAGACTAGAAAAGGGCTAACCTTCCTTATTTTCAGAAAAGGGAAGAAACAGAATCTGGACCTGGGAACATAACATTGATATTTATTAACAGAAGTCTTGCAATACTAAATTGCTCTCCTTAGATTGGTTGACCAGGGCAATGCTCTGGGTATAATATATCTTGACTTTAGCAAGGCTTTTCACAAAGTTTTTCATTGGATCCTTACCAACAAAATGTACAAATATTGGTTTATGATTAGATGGGTTTATAATTGGCTCAATGATTGTAGTCAAATGATAGTTATAAATAGCACATTTACTTGGAGAACATCTTGAATTGGGGTTCCAAAGGACTCTGGCATGGGCCCAGTACACTTTGATGTTTTTTATAAACAATATGGATGAGAGAGTTGAAGGAATGCTTACCAAATTTGCAGATGATGCAAAGCTAGGATTGGCTAATACTTGTCAGGAGAAAGAGAGAATTCAAAAATACAGGCTAGAACAGTAGGCAAAAACAAATAACAATGGCATTTAATAGGGAGAAATTTAAAGTCATGCCATTAGTAAGAAAAAGAAAAGGAATGAATGAATGTATGTATGTATGTATGTATGTATGTATATGAGAACAATACATGTGAGAATGACTTGGACATATTGTGGTTCACTAGATCAACATGTCCCTACCGTGTAATGTAGCTGCAAAGAAAGTCAACATATCTTGAAGAGCATTAAGAAGAGCAAAGAGTCCAGATTGCAGGAAGCAATTTTTCTCTGCCTTAATCACTACATTAAATTGGATCTCATGTTTATTTATTTTTATTAAATTTATAGGCCACCCATCTATCTAAAATGATTCTGGGTAGCAAAATAAATAAATAAATAAAATAATATGGACAAAGTCAGTGATGGGATTCAGCCAGTTCACACCTATTCGGAAGAACTAGTTGTTAACTTTCTAAGCAGTTCGGGGAACCGGTTGTTGGACGAAATCTCATTTTGGTTTTTTCCACTTTACAAGGCTAATCCTGTAAGGAAGCAGGAAGGAAACATTCTGGTGTTGTTTCTAGCCTAATTTTTATTGCCCTGCTTACAGAAACTGCCTCTCCGGTTAACCCTTATTACTCCGTAACAGGTGAAGCGCCCATCGAAGTGAGTGACCATACCCACCCAGTCACATGCCCACCGAGCCACACCTACCCAGCTGGTCATTAGGGCAGAGAACCAGTTGTTAAATTATTTGAATCCCACCACTGGACAAAGTATAATGATAACTGCAGCTAAACCCAGACCAGAAAGGCAAACATTGTCAGGATATTTTGCCTTTCACTCAATTTGCAGGAGCAGTTCATAGATTTAAAAGAAAAATAATGTTATGCATACACAGAGCAAATCTTACATTCACCGAGACCATCAAACAGAGAAAAGTCACAAGTCTACATGGAAACAAAACCTGAATCATAGATCCATTAACTTTGGGCTACACAATATGCAATTAATGTAATAAATGTTCTGTGTTTGCTTTTACACTACAAACTTTTTTACCATTCGTTGTGCTGCTATAAGTGTAGCAAGAGTACTGCGGCCAGGAGCTCCAGGAGCACAATAAGACACGTGGACTCTTTTTTCGTTGATAGTCAAACCATCTGTGCTTTCCTGCACTTCCTCTGTTTGTTCTGCTGTCTCATACTCAATTACTGCAAAGCCACCAACGGAGCTGTCTTCATCCTGAGCAAGCTAGAAGGACATTTCACAACACCATGAAAAGAGGTCTGTTCTCTTTCAGCTGTTCCAAAAACCATTACATTATTCTAACTGTATAACCTGTATGTCTTAGATGAGATTAATCAACATGCAGATCATTCCTCGATTCAAAGTTAATCTAATACACAAATATCTGCGGATATTCACCCCCATTAAATACTAAATATAATAAAATATAAATAAAAACAATAGATACTGAATAACCTGAGCTATAATTTTTTGTGGCAGTTATGTAAGTAAAATTTAGTTGTAATGTACAACTAAAAATGTACTCATGAAGAAACAGAATTAGGAACAAAACTTTGCAATCATGAGCATATATTTCCTTGAGATTTTATTCTTACTATGAAATACACACTGACTTTTAAACATAATTATATTGACACACTTTCTTATTTAAAAGCATGAAATGCAATTACATTTTGATTAGTTTTAATATCTACATATGTTTTTGTGCAAGGTATAGGTTTTGTTATTTCTTTTGTAGCATTACAGAAGACGTATCTCCCCAACAGTTACCAGAACTGAAGTACTCAAATAATAAAAAAAGTTTGAATTCAGTAGGGAAGATAATTTATCTTGCCAGAGCACAATAAATCTATATAGAGCAAATGTTTCCCTGGAGATGGTGCCTGGATGCACCACTGAGTGATCATGTCAAACTGCGATCTTTTTAAGATCAGCCTCTGTTGCATTTGCTTTATGAACTTTGAAATGAACACAGATGACCAAGTAGTTTAATATTTATGTTCTCATTTTTTTCTGGGTGTACAGACCATTCCAATTACAAATGACTTTGAGTTGTATATATTCCAATTTAGGTCATCATTCTCAAGATGGCAATGTGGACAGGACCTCCTTATGTGCTCACCGTCCATTTCTTCTCTTCCCCTTCTCCACACTGGTTTGGAGATAGGTGAAGAGGGAGGTTATCATGACAATTTAGGGATTTTAAGGATTCTGCACCCTGAAATAATGAGACAAATGCTTTTATTCTTTTAAGGGAAACTCAGAAGGGCAGAAAATGATAAAAGCTTAAAACAATGCCATTAAAACAAAGTCAGCTAATAAATACATACATATCAGTGGTGGGATTTTAAAAAATTACTACCAGGTCTGTGGGCATAGCTTGGTGGGCATGGCAGGGGAAGTATACTGTAAAATCTCCATTCCCTCCCCACTCCAGGGGAAGGATACTGCAGCTGGGATATGGGAGGCAGAAAATATGGGGGTGGAGCCAGTCAGAGGTGATATGGCAGTTGGTCTCACCAGAACTGCTATTTTCGGGGCTCGGACAGGAGGCTCCAGTGGATGGTATTGACATGCCCATTTGGCCACGAGACTGGGATGAAGCTGCTCCACCCTTCCTTCTCCACTTCATCGAAATGAGCTCCCCTCAGACCTAAAAACAAGGCACAAAGCACCCCAGCTATCATACTACCTAGGGCGGGAACTGGAGCCTCCTGTCCGAGCCCCGAAAATAGCAGTTCAGGTAAGACCAACTGCCATTTTCCAGAGCGAGGGACAGGAGGCTCCAGTGGATGCGACCTACCAAAGCTAAGTCCCATGGGCGGGGAACTCATGCTCTGCAATAACCTGCTGTAGCACCCTGCACCCAAACGCTGCATCAGCCGATGCGAACGTGTCCAACCTGTAATGTCAGATAAACAGCGATGGGGATGCCCATGTAGCCGCTCTGCAAATGTCCTCTGTGGGGACCTGGGAGGCCCAAGCCACCGAGGTGGCAGCGGTCCTCGTCAAGTGTGCCGTGATGCCGGCTGGCACCGGCAACCTCTGGGATTCGTATGCTAGGGATATGGCTAAGCAGATCCACTGGCTAATGGTGGAAGGCGTTACCCTCCTACCCAGAGATGATGGTTGGAAAGATAGGAAGAGTGCCTCTGACCTCTGGAAGGAGGCTGTCCGCTTCAGGTAAATACGCAGGGCCCATCTGACGTCCAACCGGTGCCACTGCTGTTCCCATTCCCTAGCTGGATTAGGGCAGAAATTGAGGAGAACAAGTTCCTGGGAATGGTGGAATATGGAATTCACCTTAGGAAGGAAGGCTGGGTCCAACCTCAACGTGACCCTGTTGTGGAACATGCACAAGCCCTTCCTAGAGGAGAGTGCTCCTAGTTCTGACACCCTTCTAGCCGACGTGATGGCGACTAGGAATACCACCTTACGGGTTAGGTGTTTCAGGCTAACCGTTCTCAACGGCTCAAAGGCTCCTCCATGAGAGCCCGTAGCACGGTGGGAAGATTCCACATGGGGAATCTATGCACCCCTGGGGGGTGCAGGTTGGAGACCCCCCGAAGGAACCTCTTCACAACAGGAAGTTGGGTGAGAGGAACCAGGCCCTCGCCCAGGAAGATCGTGGCAAGGTGACTAGTTGCCTGCGCACAATCCCCAGGGCAAGACCCTTGTCTAGGCTGTCCTGGATGAATTCCAGGACCTGCAGTACCAAGGCCGTGGTGGGCTAAATTTTCCAAGAGCACCTGCAAAAAACAATTTGTGCCCTTGACTCTTTATCAGATTTTGTAAGCAAGTTGCAAACCCTTCAGATACAAAGTCACTAAGATTAAGAGGAATGAACAAAGGATACATTGTTTCAAAGAGAGAACTCCAGACTCTGGCTTCCGAATGGTAGATTCGCTTTTTCATACTTGTCTCAAATTTATGGAAAACAAAAATCTTTAGTTGTCTTTGGTGGAATTAATAACAAATGGTAGGGACAATTTGTTAAAATAAAAAGGGGTTTTTAATTCAAGCCAAAAAATAAGATGATAAAAAATAGAGGAAAAAAATCAATCCATTCACTTCAAACGGAGAAATAGGAAACGTTATGGTCACTTCAATCCACAAAATATTGTTACAAGAAAAAAAAACAAGAACTTTCCATGGCAGTCCAATAAGAATTAAATTTGCCGCTTTATTCTTTTACTTAAAGGACTAATTTATCTTTTAAAAAAATTTCTTTGGGCAATCTTTCTCAAAATTGAGAGACCGCCTTCTGCCAATTACCTCTCTACGACCCATAAGATCCCACAGACTAGGCCTCCTCCGTATTCCATCGGCCAGCCAGTGTCGGCTGGCAACTACAAGGAGGAGG